CTTTTTAATTCATTTAATAAAATTGGAAATCTAACAACAAGGCAGCGCGAGTTCATAGCACGTCATGTTAGCACACATCAAACGATTTTCAAAACAACTAAAAGCAAACATTCAAGAAGAAAATTTACTAACAAATACTTTCTTACACAGGAAAATACTCCCAAGATAGTGTACAAGAATTTTTTTTTAAACAAACACTTTGGGAATTTCTGAACGATTCATGAGAACTGCATTAAATAAAGTCGATGAAACTGGCGTATTGGAAGAAGAAAAACGAGGTGGCCGAAATTCCGCTGCTGTTATTAAGAGAGATAAAGACCTACGCGACGCCATTATAACACACATTCGCAGATTTCCTACAGAATCTCACTACTGCAGGTCCAGTTCTACAAAAGAATATCTGCACCCAGGCTTGACAATATCGAAAATGTATGACATGTTCATAAACGAACTTGATAATAATGACGAAAAACCTTGTATCGACCTATACATAAGAGTATTTTGATCTCTAAATTTATCGTTTCACAAAGCAAAGGAAGACTAGTGCTCTTTGTGTCTTAGTTACAGGACAGGAGATGATAGTTTAAAAGAAAACTTAAGAGCTCGATTTGAGAAGCACATTGCCGAAAAAGAAAAAATAAGAGAAATAAAACAAAATATTAAAACAGAAGCTTTAAGTAAAACTCAGATTTTATGTGCTAGTTTTGACTTACAGCAAGTGATTTATTTGCCTCAGTCAAAGAAAAGCGCTATTACCAGAATCGATTAGCTAACGATAATCTTACAGTGTACAATATTGCATCAAAGACATGTTTTTGCTATCTCTGGAATGAAGTACAAAGCAAACGAGGTGCTGCTGAAATAAGTTCCTGTATCTATAAGGCACTTACTGTCTACGGTTGCTCTTTTTTCAGATGGTTGCAGCGGTCAAAATAAAAATTCAATTACTGCAACCATGCTTCTGTATACGGTGGCAAACTCTAAAAGCATAGAGAAGATATCAATTAGATTTTTTGAGTCATTCCATGGGCAGAATGAGGGAGAATCTGCACATAGTGCTATTCCAACTGCACTAACAACAACAGGTGATATTTTTGTACCATCACAGCTTCACCTCATTATTTGCCCGAAGAAAACAACCATACAAAGTAATACCTCTAGAGTATTATGACTATAGATTTCAAGAAGATATCCAGAAATTAACGAATATTGTCAGTAAAAACATCAGATTCTGGAAATTCCATAAAATGGACAGATATTATGGAATTAAAGGTAAAGAAATCTGATCCATTCAAAATATTTTTCAAAAATAGTCACCTTCAAGAAGACTTCGATTCGCTTACACTTAAAAGATTACAAACTGATTTATCTAGAGTTAATTTGAAGAACTTCAAAAACTCAAAGCTGAGAAATACCTTGACCTTAAGTCACTATGTTAAGAGTCTTTGCAAGTAGTTAGAAATCAGGAACTTGATTCCCAAGCAATATCTCATTTCATTATCAGTTATTTTTTTATTAGAATTATTATTTATTTTTTAAATTTTATTATTTTAAATACAGAAAGTTTTTTTAATTTATTTGTAATATTTATATTTGTTTGCCTATAATGGTTTTGTATCTGGTTTTGTATGTTTGTTGTTGATTTTTAATAAAATTGTGGTTAATTTTTTAATAAATTTATTGTTTATAAAATTTTTCTGCACTATAGTATATTCTAATAAATTGACGTAACTCAGTTTTATGTCGTTTTTCAATTTTACAAAGTGACTTATCTCATTGTCGGCCATTTTAAGAAAAATCAAACAAGTTTTTTGGCGAAAATGATGCATAGACATGTACTTGACACATTTATCTTCTAGTATACCAAAAATTAGATTTTAGATTGTTACTGTTACTTGTTGCCATTTGGTTCAATTTTATAAAAATCTTTAAAACGCTTTCCTGTAAAGTTGTGAAAATCGAGTTACGCCACTTAGTGAAATTAACAACGAAGTTTGTAAAGTTACTAATGTGATTGTCTCATCTACAGAAAGTGAAACAAAGGCCTTGGAAAAATGCAGGTATGTACTATAATTTATCTTCTTTAAAAGTGTCAGTTTGGATTTAATTTACAGCTGTGCGCAATTATTACAGACATAAGTCGTAGCTCTGTCTTTGTCGATTAAGGCCTACTTTAGAAACATCTTTTGTGGATCACTATTTATTTTAATAGTAAACAATTATTATCTTTTTTATCCTTTGTTGAGATTTTTTTTGCACAAAGTTATAATGAACTGGGTGATACCCGGAATTCGTATAATTTACCTTCTTCAATTATTTTATTTACATTCACAAACACGTAATATTTTTTTTTTAAAACCTCATAAATGTAAATCCAATATCAGCGTGTTTTTATTCAATTCTTCAATAAAGGACTTTTTCCCCTGCATTTATAAAATGGTTTATAAAATTCCATGACATCCGCAGTTAAATTTAAGTATTCGATCACTGTCGTTTGTTTTTCTTTGCGAACGAACCGAAAAAGAAGGAATTCCTATAAAAGAGTTAGACTCTAATGAAAATCTCGAATTGAATGAAAAGAAATAAACGTCGCAAAATGTTCTCTCACAATATTATTCTTTTGCCTTCAGTTTTAAGGCTTTATTCCTGCAGTTCGAGCTAAACCCCTTTAAAAAAAGTTAATAGGATATAAAAATGTATTCAACATTTTGACGTAAAATTATAATTTTTATTTCTCATCGAACTGATTATTATAGATACATACCAACCGCAGTTTGATATTTATGCTAGTCTTCTAAAAACAAGTACTTTATTAGAACTGCTATAGAAGCAGCAGAACCACCACTAAAATTCAGAAGAAAATATTGTAACATTTTTGTTATATTTGTCAGCTTGACAGTTAAGACTTCGGGTTGGGCTTTCATTCTACAGGCTTCGAATTTAAATTAAAATCAAATTTCGTATCGTTACCTTTCACGTACGAGTATCAACTGTGGTGTGGAAACACTATGCAAAAATAATCTTTGTAATATTTACTTCTTGTCTCCACATATACAGCTCCTTCTTTCATTGAAGGTTTATTTATTTTCATGCAAAGGCAACAATAGAAGTTTTTGTCGGATTTGTTGATAATTAATTTTAATCCATTTTTCAACGATTCTGCTGCTTTCATACGGAAGCAACGGCTACAAATTTTTCCTTTACAATATCTTACATCATTCACAAATTTATAAATGTTCTCTCTCCAATTTCAACAGTGAACTGCAATTACTTGGCCCTATACTTTCTTATATTTTCGCTAAATAGTTAAAAAAAAATCTCCTCCTGTTCCTACAACAAGTCTAGCTCTCTAGTCCAGCTATATAGCCAGGGCTGAATTAAGACTACTTGATGCCCTAAGTAATCCACGCCTGTGGGCCTCCCTATCCATAAGTAAACTAGTATTGGTCTTTAAAAAAAGATACACATTTAATACAAAGAGATAGATCATTAGGCACCTTAGAATATGTATGAAGGACTTGTAGTAGGTAATATATATATAATAAAAACCAAAGCATTATTTATTTACTGAAATGCGACTTGCGACTTTTTCGGGTATTAAATTAAACAGGTTCGGTTCACAACAAAAATGGGAACCTCGAAAATCCAGTGTTAAATGAACCTATGGAGATAGCAGTATTGAGACAAGTTAGAGTGGGATAGTACGCTGAGTACAAGACAGGTTTGTCTCGTACAAGTTTCCAACGGGTATTAAAAAAATAAAAATTTCATCCTTATAAAATTCGCTTAGTGCAAAAACTGCATGAAGACGACTTCGATCGTCGCTTGCAATTTTGCGAAATTATGAGTGAACGAGTGTTAAACAATGATAATTTCCTATTGAATGTGTGTTTTTCGGATGAGTGCTCTTTTTTTCTACATGGTTTAATGAATCGCCATTACAGGGCAAGGATTTTTCACGAGACACACACACACACACGACACCCCGAGAAGTTAAATATATGGGCTGGTATTTTTGAAAATTCCATTGTAGGCTTTTTTTACTTTCTGGAAATTTAACAGGCGATATGTACTTTTTTTTGGTATAGGCACATTGCCATTCAGCCAGAAGACACAGATTCGTCCATAATTAGAAATACCCAAGAATATTTCCTAACAGCAAGATGTGTAAGAAGAAGAAAAACAATTTATGACGGGGACACTCGATTCTCGTCCAGGGACCCATCTAGACTTTTTTTTTAATAGACAAACAAAATTAGGCCTCGGTAAGAGGGTAAACAAATAGGTATAATACAGAGGAAACAAGATTAAGATTCCAATCATAGACGAATCTTGGTGTCTCTCAGAAATTGTAAGAGGCAATTGATAATATCAGAAAAATGTGTTAAAGCTGTTTCAATATTTAAGGGGGATGAAAGTTTTTTTTAAAGATTCATATAAAGTAGCTGTACTCGACCTTTTTTTCTTTCGGGCCACATACACAGAAAAAAAAAACTTGGTATATTGAAATAAGAGTTATTATCTGACGAGAAATTTATTGGATTATATGTGTATTTTATTGGATTCAGATAAAGCAGTAGTCAAATTTACAAGGTACATTATGCAAAAGAAATTTTTTTTTCTTCTAATACAATATTTTCTAATTTAAATTATACCTAATTTGAATTAGATTATAAAAGTTACTAATAATTAAAAACACACAAAACGTTTGTTTGTATTTAACAATTTTTTTTATGCAGTTTAAACACATTACCTATTTATTTTTAAAACAAATATTATTTAGTACTATATGCATTTTTGTGTAGACTTAACATAAAACTTTTTTAATTGACACACATTCTTAAATAGAATAGGTAAATATTTTGTTTAAAATAATCAAAAAACTTTTAGACGTGAATTTGTGAAATTATTTACCTTAAATAATTTTTTAAGTAGGTTAGCAATCTAAAAAACATGACTTATGTGTCCGAAAAAATATTTTGTTATATTACAAACGATGCTCTTTCGAATAGACAAGATTTTTAGCTGCCCTATATAGTGAAGGTCGTAACTTGTTTAGATGCGGCACGCGGCGACACCTAGTATAGGAACGAATTCATTCTTCATTCTGTTGTTTGTCGTTTAGTTTGGATGGTGGATGAATAGAGTTGGTTGTTTTGTTTTAACTGTGTAATGTTTAGGTGCTAATAATGGAAGAAACAAAAAGATTATTGATTGAGTGGGGCCTCGAAGAAATCGTGGAAGATTTTGTGGGTAAGTAAATTCCAATTTTATTCCGATAATTATTATAATTTTACGACCAATGCAATATATAACTAATGAATGTAAAATTTATTAATTCTAACTTTGGTTAAATTAGGCTATCTTAAGCCGTTTTGTTTCGGTGTTTTTAATTTTATTTTAAAACAGAAATGGTTTGTTTGGTTAGATACTTGAAATGCCGGTTTTTTTTCCAGTTTTATAGCAATATATAGGTATCGAGGCGTAAATTTTTGGGGGTTAAATATTAAAATGGCTTCCTACACGAATTTAAATATACTGCAAACCAAATTTTTAGTAACTATAGTAATTATTAGAAATGATGAAATTAAATTTTTTTGATTTGTTTACAGTGTTAAATTTGAATTTTCATTAAAATCGTTTATTTAACTTCACTTGTTGTGTGGGGTGATTGTCTGTGTTATCAAATCTTAGAAGTTAAATTTGACCTAATTTAAAATAAAATGTTTATTTGAGCTTAAATTTTGCACTGATCCAGAACCGTATTTAGGAGGAGGAGCTAAAACTTTGTATTTAACTACTTTGCGGTGTCCAATCGAGCTAAAATTTTGCATATTATGTATGTAAATCAAATGATGTTGCAATATTATTGTGTCATAATAGTTCCAGGATCGAATTCTGCGTATTTTACTTTAGTTTGGATTAGTTAGGTTAGTTCCCATTTTTTTAAAGTCATTTTAATATGGGTAACCTTTTCCATACTTAAAGACAGTTCTGTATTATAAAAATGTACATGGTACCTATATAACGGTGCGCAGTTTTTTATGGGATTTATCAAGGTATGCATGTATATATGCAGTTTTTTTTTAAATATTGAGTAAATATCTAGGTATGTCAAGTAAAAAGCGTACTATTTTTTAAAGCCAATGGAGTAACATCTGATATGTTTGCTGATATTAACGAAGCATTAATGAAGGAACTAATACCTAAAGTTGGGCCAAGAATTAGGTTCAAGAGACAAATAGATATATTAAAGGCTGAATTAGATGTTCCGAATGTCGCGGATCCTTCAACCTCAAAGCAAAATATTGATGTATGTATAATAGTAAAAAATACAGGGTCAGTCATGTAGATCTAAATGTACATGCATAAATCACCAGGAGATAGATAATACCTTGTAGGTTTACAAATTACCCACATTTATTTGGTACTTCTTCACTCTTTATCTAGATACAGGGCGTTTTATAAGATTTAGCTTATTTTTGTTTTTTTAAATATTTTTTTGCGCCCGGTATAAAATGTTTATACTTGATGGAAATATTTTGTATAGGTACCTATCGCTTTAAAATGACATGTGCAAAAGTTTTCAATTTCAGGTCCGGACTTTTGCATTTTCTTTAAATTTAATACCTTGTGAATAAAAATGAAAATGTAATTTCTAATTTGAAAATTACATAAAAAATTAATTATACGTTAATAACATACTTTTTAAAGTTGCCGCACTCACCACTTAGCCATAAAAAATGGCTGGATCTTTAGATATATGAAAAAAATATTTTTTCTCCAAACGGCAGTAAATCATGAGTTTACTGACTGAAAAGAAAGAAGAAAAGTACCACTTTGCAGCCGCAAAAAGAAATTTTTTTCCCTCCTACCACCGAAGCCTTTAATAAAATTATGGACAGAATTCGTTGACAGTTCCTGCAGCCACAATTTTAAAATTTATGAAATTATCAGTACCGTAGCTTTATACATTCTCATACATAGCTTCATACATTCTCTCTTTTTACTATAAACTAGTAAAATTGCAATGGCAACTGGTAGGTACCCTTGCCACGTTCAAAATGTCAAACGTGAGAGTTTGTTTATTATTATACGCAAAAAGAAAAACATTACCATCCACAGAAGTGAAAAAGTATGCTATAGAAAAGTAGAAAATCTAATTAATTTATTAGTTCTTCGTTAACAGACGTCTGGAGAAAAAATAGTATGTTCGATTTAAAGGAAAATAGATTTTGTTTGCTTCGTCTGTATATGCCGGACTCGCCGGAGGCTCGTCCTGCAAACGTAAAGACTCACGCAAAGCCTCACTTTTCATCTACATGAAACAATCTACTATTGTATACCTATCGGTTTAAAATACGATGTTCAAAAGTTTTAAAATTCTGGTCCGAGTTAATAAAAACTTGCCTTTGCAGTTTTTAAAATTCAACACCTTGAAAATGTAACTTTATTCGAAAATAATATAAAATATTGAATATAGGTAATAACATACTCTTTAAAGTTGCCGCAATTAACCAAAATAAATATTTGAAAAAAAAAATCCTATAAAAATGTTGTTATATTTTTTAGCGGCTGGTATAAGGTATGTGTAAATTTGTAAAGTGTTTATTGTTGGTGAAAATATTTTCTATACCAATCGACAAGGGCGTCGGTATACTTTTTTCCTGGTGGGTAAAATAATTTTTTTTACACATAAAATAACTGATAAATGTTATATTGTTAGTCTTGACTCTTAGTAAGGTGCAGAAAATTTAAAAAATTAGCACCTTAAATTGGGCGTGGTTTAAAATATGACAACCAAAAATGTGCTAAATCTTATAAAACACCATGTAACACCAATAAAGGTGGGTAATTTAGAACTTTCAAAGTGATCTCCTATCTCCTGGTGACGTATTTACATTTAATTAACCACAAATAACTATTAATTGGTTTGGTGTTGCAGTTAACCGTGAAAGATTTAGAAAAGCCCTTTTCACCAGAAAGCACTTCGTCTACTATAACAAATGCGACCACTTGGTCATGCCTGTCAAGTGATGGTGATGTAGAAACAAGTAAAACTGAAACCGGTATGTCATCCAATCAATAAAAAAATTACATAATTACTTTAAGTCAAATTGCAGGAACAACACAAAGCAAGTTCTACATTTTGAATATAGATGCTACTCATGATGAAAAGCTTACCAATACCAATACCAATACCTCGACTAAACCTAAAATGGTCACTAGTGCACAAATGATAGACCTTTTTAACTCCACAAATACAGGCAAAAGCGTTTTGGAAGTTTACAAACATTCTACCTTTCAAAGGGCACACAGGCAAACTATAGCGGACATTATCATAAGAAACGAATTAGAAGGACAGCCTGATAAAAGGATTAGTGGAAACAGATTTATGGAGTTATCGGAAATGATAGTGCAGCTATTTCCGACAGAGTATAAGGTATCTATTTCTCTCTTCATTACTTAATCGGTTTTTTATATTTTGGAATTTAGATTTAACATTTTCTATTTAATTTTAGCAAATATACTTTTCGAAAGAAAAAATTGAAAAAAATAAAAAAATCGAAACTGTGGCAAAAGGAAAATTAGTGTCAAAGTTTTATACTCTCAGAAGATCTTTCAGGGACTGTGGCTTATTACCCAAAGATGGAAAACAAAAATCAGACACCAATTTACCTACAACTGATGATGGTAAGAAACAGCATAATCACATTTTTAATAATTGAAATTATTTTAACACTGTACATATTTTGTAATTACAGAAAACACGCACGAAGACATTATTTTGTGGCTAAAAAACTCCACTGAACCATGGACAACAGTAGAAGAGAATTGGACTAAAACATCTAAAATAAGGGCAAATGACCTACTCCACCCTGGAAAACTGGTCCAATATTTTGAAAGTTTTCCATGCCTCCGTTCGGAAAAAGGATATTTATTGGTGAATTTTTAGTTATCAATTTTTAGAGAATAATAGGATACTCAAGATTAAGATAGCCTGTAACTTTTTTTACATTTTAGATCAAAAATATACAAATCTAGTTTCAACGTACTTCTAATAAATACTCTTATACATGATAGTCGTTAAGCATTTTAATAAAATGGTATGGTTTTTAAGATTTCAGAGTTTTACTTTTGCCAATTTTCTAGTTCACATACTTTCATTGGCATTTTTCCATGTTTTGTGATTAAGCAACTAAATATACAACTTTGTAGTTTTTAAGAAACCTATATTCATTTCCCGACCTATGTTCATAAAAGAAATTTTCATGTTTTCTTAGATAAAATCACCCCTCAAATTATTTAAATTTAATTTACGGATACCCTGTATAATAATATAGTAAATAATTTTCAGGTGGAAATTGATTTTAATATCCTTTTCCCGGATCATGGAATGAATTTATTCAATTCTTGGGAATCAATTAGTAGTAAAATTGTAGAACATGCAAGTCGTGACATATTTTCTAAGGACAACGCAATTAAAGAATTACTAGACGATTTAACAGCTGATATTTCTTCAGGTAATATAATATTACATGTGAAAATCCGAGATTTAATAATTGTATTTGTTTTAGATGCCAGGGCTAACATTGTTATGCTATTACTGACCTATATTTTGCCAACAATAAGTATCCGAAAAGGAAAACCAGCAGGACGGTGGAGGCCTTCTCGCCTAGAAGTTGCTGAAGGATTCTGGTTACGACTAAAGGTAGGTAATTTAGTTCTGGTTTATACTTTTTTATGTTCAGTATATTGAAATATAATTTTGATATAATAATATAAATTTATATCTAAGAGGTGCAATTATCTTCCATTTTATTTAGTATATTATGTTTTTTTTTTTAGAATATATCAGAACTAGCTCAAGCTGTTAATAATAAAGTAGAAAAATTACAGAAACTTGGACTTTGCGTTCAACCATTGGTAATCGTCGTGGGGCCCTCAAATACCGAGATTCAAAGTGTATATGTTAGGATAGATCAACATATGTTTCCTATGCCATCTTGTCTAAAAGCCTTAGACATATGTTTTAAAAGTTTTCATGCTCTGCATGCAGAATACGCCAGAGAATCGGAACAGATATGGACTTTTATTCAACAAGGAATATATAAACTACATACCAAATGGGACAAATCTTTCACTGGTGTTAATTCATTATTGGCAGACTTAAAACTGTAAACGTTAGGTATATATACCTATCTTTTTAGAAAGTAAGGATTTTTTTTGTTATTTAGGAGTATTATTTTGCTTCTAGTGATTCAGAGTTTTTTACTTTTAAGTTTTGAATGAATGTTTTAATTTATATGTTATTTATTATTATTTTTAAATACTTAAAGACTGAATATGCCAGTTTGTTATTTATGTTCGGAAGATTTTGACTTGTATACAGGTTTGTTTTTGCATTTTAAAATAGTCCATAACCTAAGAACTGATAGTACTTATAGATGTAGGGAAGGACTATGTAGACGAGATTTTCAAACTATTAACTCTTTTAGAAAACATTTGAAAAATAAACATGGGACATGTCAAAATGGGTGTAATATTTCCATCTCCGACAACTATAGTGACAATACAAACGCAAATTTTTTTAACCTTAGTTCTAGCAGTAATAATGCCACTAATAAACGGCATGATAACTTCGAGGACTTTGAAAATATACTAAATAATTGTGTCTTACAATTTATAGCTAAGCTGTATGATAATTCAGCTATACCTAGAAATGTTATCCAATTAATTGTAGAAGAAACTTCTAATTTATTTAACAGTGACCTGATAATTTTTCTTAAAAAATATATCATTAATGCATTTGAATCCTGTACCAATTGTAAAGAAAAAGTGTCAACTGCAAATACACTCTTGAATAAAATTCAGAATCCATTTAGAGGACTTTCAACCGAATATCTAAGATTGAAAGCTCTATCTAATACAAACTCCTACATACCACCAATTGAATATAAAGTTGGTCAGACAACAGTTGAAACTATTAAAGATGGTAACACAATATTGACATTAAAAGATGTTACCGCAACATGTATTCCTCTTAGAACCGTTCTTAAACATCTTTTTGAATTACCCGAAGTTTTTGAAAAATCATTAAATTTTATAAAACCTGTACAAACTAATAATGTAAGAAGTTTTGTTCATTCTGAGTTTTGGAAACGAAAAGCTTTAAGTTTTGGTAATAAAACTGTGTTTCCCTTATTCATGTATTATGACGATTACGAGTCAGGAAATCCACTTGGATCGCATGCGGGCGTTCACAAAATTGGTGCTATGTATATCAGTTTGCCGTTTCTTCCAGCGCGTCTTCAAGGTTCTCTTTATCGAATACTTTTATTTCAACTACATCGTAGTCAGGACAGAAAAAAATTTGGAAATAAAGCAATTTTTGAACATCTTACTAGTGAACTAAGTTTCCTGGAAAAAACTGGAATTTGTGTTAAAACATCTACTGGAGAACAAATTATTTATTTTTCGTTGGCACTTATAATTGGGGACAATTTAGGCCTCCATACTATATTAGGGTTTAGCGAAAGCTTTTCTGCAAATTTTTCTTGTCGATTTTGTAAAATACACAAGTCCGATTTAAAAATTTCCTGTTCTCAATGTGATAATCTTCTAAGAAATCGCACTAATTACGAAGCCGATCTCAAAATGGATAATATAAGTTTAACTGGACTTAAAGAACCTTGCGTTTGGAATTCTTTAATATTTCATGCTGTGGAAAATCTTTCTGTCGATATTATGCACGATATATTAGAAGGCGTATGTCATTACGATTTTCTCATAATTCTTAAACGATTTGTAGTTGACATGAAATACTTTACGTTAGAAAATTTAAATTTTCGTATGAAAACATTTAATTATTCAAGTTTAGAATCAAAAAATAAACCACCTCCTATTGAGGAAAATTTTGATTTTTTAAATAAGGCCAAATTTAAAATGTCAGCTTCTGAAATGTTATGTTTTGCGCGATATTTTGGTTTATTTGTGGGTGATCTAGTCCCAAAAGCAGATAAAGGTTGGCAGCTTTACATAATTTTAAGAGAAATTATTGATATTATATTTTCAAGTTCAGTTTGTAGCCAGAAAGTAATTTTATTAAAAGTTCTTATCACTGACCACCATGAAGTGTATATATCCGACATATTTAAAGGGCGTTTAAAACCAAAGCATCATCATATGGTGCATTATCCATATATTATGTCACAAGTAGGACCGCTTAAAAATCTTTGGTCAATGAGATTTGAATCAAAACATAAGGAATCAAAAACAACAGCGAATGTTACTAGTTCAAGAAGAAATATCACTCTAACATTATCTATCAAGCATCAGCTGAAATTATGTTATAAGTTTTTGTCAAACATTATTTATGATGATAAAATATTTATGGGACCAGGTGAAATAGTAAAATTAGATACTCTCATTTATTATGATTCATTTTTAAAAATGTCTTACCCCTTAATTTAACAGAGACCTTTTTGCCCCATTGGGTAAATATGTATGGATTAGTTTTTAAATGTTCTTCTCTAATCATTACAGGTTCTGAACATTTATTACCTACATTTGGAAAAGTAATCCACATAGTTGAAAACGAAAATAAAATTGCTTTTATATATAACTCATTCGAAACAATAGGTTTTGATGAGCATTATCACGCATACGAAGTAAAAATTCTAAAAGAGTACAATATTGTATCATACGAAGATTTATTGGAACCCTTTCAGGCGTTATGCCATAAGTCGGTAGATGGAAATACGTACATCGCAGTTAGACATGATATTAGTTAAACTACAACTTTTGTTAATTTTTTTGTTAGGTATAACACTTGTATAAGTTCCTGTTCGAAATAAAAAGATATGTTTTTTAAATAATATGGTTTCAATTATATTACCTTTGAATTTTCAAGGGACATAGATCCCGAAAATGTTAGTTTTCATGAACCAAAACGATATTTCTTTACACTTACTAAAGTAAAAATTTCAAATTGGATTCTATACAGGATGACCTATAAATGGCCCCGTTTCCGATAAAAATTAGATTAGATCTTGAGGTGCATCCAAATAACTATTATTTTACTTTACTTACTTTTGACCATAGAATATGCCGTTAAATTTTTGTACACTATTATGTGAGACCCTATGTATATGGGCCAGACAATACCCACATAAATGTATTTCATTTACATGTAAGTATACTAAATATTAAATAAACAAGTTATAGAAGAGAGGGAACATTTATAACCAATAATCCTGTACCTACATAAGAACTTTGTCTGAGCATGCAAGTATACTTATCTACCCTAGCAAATTCCGTTTTTCGTGGTTTAGTAAAATACTTGTCTAATGTAGGTAGTAAATAAGTCCCCTCTCACTAAGCTATTATATATACCAGCACATTAATTTTCTATTTAACAAAATAAAAATATTTAGTACAACATACGATTTTTCTAAATTAGTAGTTCTTTCTATGTAGCTTAGTGAATTGTCTCACAATTTTTTTATAAAACGCTTTTTTATCACACACAATCGTATGTTTTCAACTACAAAATTTTCTTTTCTAGAGTATATAATATTTTATTTGAAAGAACTAACAAATTCTTTTTAATGGCAAACATGTTTATCAATTCTTAATAATTAATATTTTATAAATTATATAATATGGTTACTTATATTAGGTAAAGCAATTCTAGTTAAAACATTTGGATAAGGTGAATAAGGTTTTATCTGTCCCTATAGTGCTTAAGTATTTTGTCTAATCTATACAAGTTTTTTTTTTCTGTGTAGATAAGTTTATTATGCTACACGAGCCACAATATTTTTGGGTGATAACTAGAGTTGCCACCTTTTTAAAATGCAAATGAAGAACAATGGGTGAGGATAGGGCTCCGCTTTAAATATTTCCTAAAAAAATGTCCTCATATTGTTTTAGTCTACATTTTAAAAAAAGTCCTCATGTTGTTTTAGTTGTTTTAATCAGCTTTGAAAAGTCGCAAGGACAGGACTGTAGATCAACCATTTCAATTACTAATAATCGTGTTTGGGGCTGTACACAAAAGCTTGGAGGGCCGGAAAAAAAGCTTGGAGGGCCGGAAAAAAAGCTTGGAGGGCCGCAAAAACAGCTTGGAGGGCCGCACAAAACAGCTTGGAGGGCTGCAGGTTGAGTACGGCTGTTATAAAGTATATTTGAATGTACTGCGTATTTTTTGCATTCAAAGAAAACGTGGTTACGGTCTCCAGCTGTTTTACAAGTCACAATTTTCATCTTCTTTTACATTAATTTTAAATAACTGGCATGACCAAACTGGTTCTAATTAAAGATGTAATGTAGTTTCTTGGAATTATATGATTTTTAAACCAGGGTGAGTTTGGAGTATCCATTTTCTCATATTGTTGGATGTTATCAAGGCAACAATATCTGGGCTACAGATGTTATGAATGGTGTTATTTCCTTTTTTTATTGCAGATTTTTCTAGCATATCAACATATTCATTGTGTTTAAGTTCAATATGAGCCTTTACCCATAGTAGGCGCAACCAGTGCCTAGGTCTGACTTGGATGTATCGGTGTAACGGCATTTTCAGGAAAGCTATTTAGGTTACAAAGTAGAATTGAACAATTATGAGGATTTTCATCATAATTGGGATGTCTAAGTAAGACTTTGGTAAAGAAACAAGGAAAGTCGGATGTAATTGATCTAAAGAATCTAGAGAGTCGAACGCTATCTCACTACTTGGATTTACTACAAAATGCTATCTACCCAGCTCTAACAAATATCATAGAGAACGACCCTTTTAATGAGGTATCACTTGATATCCTATTCCTTTGAAAAAATTTGGAGGATGACACCCCTACTGAGGGGGTCGAAGGTTTCATTATACTTTTTGCAAGTAAACTTGAAGTGTTTCACCAAAAAGTTCTTTTTACCCTGTAATGCCTTGCGGTACGTTTTCGATGGGCCTATAGGGGCGAGCGGTCCATGGAAGCGGGAGAAGCGCCGCTTCCCTACACTTAGAAATTTAAAAATAAATATTTTTTAGTTTACAATGCATAGAAATTAATATTAAATTAGATACTACATTTTCTCTGAAACATTACGTAAACTTCGCAAATGTACTAACAATTCATTGGTGTAATGTGTAAACGCACGCACCATCCATGAGAAAATTAATTGTGTCGGCGGAAGCGCGTCTTGAAAAAGCCGGCTCATCTTCCAATTAATTTCGCTTCGTGTTATTGACCCTCCTTGCCGCGACAGTAGTCAGTCTGTTTGGACAAGTGAAATACGGTCGAGAGGCAGCGATTTTTACGTCGCCTTACGCATATTGCAATTCGCACTGCGAATCGACGTGTGAGGAAAATCGTAAACTTCAGATAGATTTCGGTTTGTTTTTCGTAGTTGTTTTTGTTTTTGTTTTTGTAAAATGGAGGAACTATGCACTGTGCCTGTGAACAATAATAATGTGGTAAATTGTGTCTGTATTGTGTGCTCTTTATTGAAAAAAGGATTTTCAAGTAGAAATTTTGAAGAGAAAACGGACATTATTAATTCTAGTAGACTAAAGGATCCTATCAATTTAGAGACGAAAGTAGAAAAGTCAGCAAAGAAATTTACCAGGCATTTTCACGTAGGGTTCTATGAAAAGTATGAATGGTTAACCGGCTGCAAAACTTTGAAGAAATTGTTTTGCTGGCCTTGCCTACTTTTTAATATAGCCGAAAAAACACATTGGAACAGACTTGAATAATTTTCACAAAAGTGTAAAACGACATGTAAATAGCAAATCTCATATAAGTGCTACAATTAAAGAAAAAACATTCGGGACCTATCGCATTGAACATAGTTTGGACAATCATTTAAAAATAAGCAATAAAATTCACAATGAAATGGTAAAAAAAAATAAAGACGTCTTAAAACGAATAATAGATGTAACTTGTTTCCTGGGAGAGCATAAACTAAGTTTTAGGAGTCACAATGAAGCAAGTAGATCCGCCAATCGAGGAGATTACATGGACCTTCTAAGTTTTTTAGCAAAATACGATGATACCCTAAAAAATTATTTTATTGATTCGACGACTTTCCGAGGTACCTCAAACAGAAATCAAAATGATTTAATTAAATGCACTGCCGACGTTGTGATGGATCACATTAAAAGTGAAATTAAAAAAGCACCTTTCGTATCAATTGCGCTTGATGAAACCACAGATGTAGCAATTATTGTATTGGATGGCATTCCTTAAGGGCGATTCTTAGGATTTTTGGACGTCACTAGCGAATGAACTGCAGATGCATTGTTCAAAATTGTTTGTGATATTATTTCAAGTTTAGAATGTGGTTCTAAGCTTGTTGCGCAGAGCTACGATGGTGCTGCCGTAATGACTGGCCATTTAGGAGGCCTTCAAGCTAAAGTGAAAAAGAAGTTTAAACATGCAATTTTCGTTTACTGTATAGCATATAGACTTAATTTGGTTTTATTGCGAAGCATGGATAATATTAAAGATTGCAAAGTTTTCTTTTCGACGCTTAGTGGTTTGGCTTTCTTCTTTTTAAAGTCATCGAAAAGAACTCGCGTTTTGGACATTCACGTTCAGAAAAGGATTCCAAAAGTTGCTCCGACGCGATGAAACTACAATGGACGTTTAGTGCAAACAGTGTTTCAATACCGTGATTCTTTGATACACTTTTTTTAAGACGTTTGGGATACCTAATAAAAAAACATGGGATGCTGAAACTGTTACTGTTGCTAAAGGGTATTTGCATTGGCTCAAACAAAACTTTGATTTCAATTTTTTGCTCAACATTTTTGCAGAGATTTTCCCTTTTACTGACATTTTATTCGACATTTTACTGACAAAGTCAAATGACATTGGCTTTTGCATTAAACAAATTGATGATTTTAAAAATAAAATGAATAAAAAACGAGATCAGTTTAAACACTTTTGGAATAAGACTCAAAACATTTGCTTAGAACCTGAAAGAAAGAGAATTAGAATTGATAATGTTGGGGACAGATTATACGCCGACATTTTTAATAATATTTTACAACAAATGAACTCTCGATTTCAAAACTTTAACGAATTAAAATTTGTTGAATTGTGCAATTTTAATATTAGTAACTACGATTCATCAAAATTTCCATCGAAAGCTTTTAATTCACTAAAATTAAATTATGGATTTTTTTTCGATATTCCGGCATTAAAGTCCTAGTTAAGTGTTGTTTATGAAACAACTGAAATAAGTGATAAAAAAACGCCCATCAATGTGTTATTTTTTTATAACAACTGGTTTAAATAAGTCCCTTTGTGAAGTCGCCAAGTTGTGTGAATTAGTACTAACCATCCCAGCCACAAGTGCGTCAGTTAAGCGAAGTTTTTCAGCTTTAAAGCGCATTAAAAGTTTTATACAAAATTCAAAAAATGAAGACAGACTCTCTAATTTAGCCCTAGTATCCATTGAAAAACAGCTTGTTAAACAGTTATCATAAAATCCAAAATTTTACGACGATGTTATAGTCAAATTTGCCATAGAGGATAGATGAATAGATCTTAAGTATAAATAAATGTCAACTGCTGTGTCAACTGTGCGAAAAATGCTGGAAAAAATAAAAAAAATTCACTTAAATATTTTTGTTTACGTTTAAATAAACCAAGGAAGCTTTTCAATGGTAAGTTTTTTTATAGCTTCTAGTACTAAACTAGGTAATAAAGTAATAGTAACACTTCAAAAATCTTAATCTCGAATATCCGTAGTACTGAGGAAAGAAAAGCAAGAATTTGACAAAATGGCGAATGCGCCGCGAAAAATGTTCGCCTGCGGCGCTGTGCTTACTGGCTTGCTGCATTTTTATATAATCGTATCTCCCTCCAAAAATTTCACCGCACGCCACTGATCGTTACGCTGTGCATTTTGATATCATCAGGCATAAAAATATACACAGGGTTGTGTCCACATTAGGAAACGCTAATTCAATTTTACAATCGTGTATTATTTTGTGCGTGAGTTT